TACTGGGAATCAATGTAATAATAATCACTGGATCCTGATACCAGTAACAGGTATATGTGTAATTCATACTACTGGGAATCAGTGTAATAATAATCACTGGATCCAGATACCAGTAACAGGTATATGTGTAATTCATACTACTGGGAATCAGTGTAATAATAATCACTGGATCCTGATACCAGTAACAGGTATATGTGTAATTCATACTACTGGGAATCAATGTAATAATAATCACTGGATCCTGATACCAGTAACAGGTATATGTGTAATTCATACTACTTGCAATCAATGTAATAATAATCACTGGATCCAGATACCAGTAACAGGTATATGTGTAATTCCTACTACTGGGAATCAGTGTAATAATAATCACTGGATCCTGATACCAGTAACAGGTATATGTGTAATTCCTACTACTGGGAATCAGTGTAATAATAATCACTGGATCCTGATACCAGTAACCGGTATATGTGTAATTCACACTACTGGGAATCAGTGTAATAATAATCACTGGATCCAGATACCAGTAACAGATATATGTGTAATTCATACTACTGGGAATCAATGTAATAATAATCACTGGATCCTGATACCAGTAACAGGTATATGTGTAATTCATACTACTGGGAATCAATGTAATAATAATCACTGGATCCTGATACCAGTAACAGGTATATGTGTAATTCATACTACTGGGAATCAATGTAATAATAATCACTGGATCCAGATACCAGTAACAGGTATATGTGTAATTCATACTACTGGGAATCAATGTAATAATAATCACTGGATCCTGATACCAGTAACAGGTATATGTGTAATTCATACTACTGGGAATCAATGTAATAATAATCACTGGATCCTGATACCAGTAACAGGTATATGTGTAATTCCTACTACTGGGAATCAGTGTAATAATAATCACTGGATCCTGATACCAGTAACAGGTATATGTGTAATTCATACTACTGGGAATCAGTGTAATAATAATCACTGGATCCTGATACCAGTAACAGGTATATGTGTAATTCATACTACTGGGAATCAGTGTAATAATAATCACTGGATCCAGATACCAGTAACAGGTATATGTGTAATTCATACTACTGGGAATCAGTGTAATAATAATCACTGGATCCTGATACCAGTAACAGGTATATGTGTAATTCATACTACTGGGAATCAGTGTAATAATAATCACTGGATCCAGATACCAGTAACAGGTATATGTGTAATTCATACTACTGGGAATCAGTGTAATAATAATCACTGGATCCTGATACCAGTAACAGGTATATGTGTAATTCATACTACTGGGAATCAATGTAATAATAATCACTGGATCCTGATACCAGTAACAGGTATATGTGTAATTCATACTACTTGCAATCAATGTAATAATAATCACTGGATCCAGATACCAGTAACAGGTATATGTGTAATTCCTACTACTGGGAATCAGTGTAATAATAATCACTGGATCCTGATACCAGTAACAGGTATATGTGTAATTCCTACTACTGGGAATCAGTGTAATAATAATCACTGGATCCTGATACCAGTAACCGGTATATGTGTAATTCACACTACTGGGAATCAGTGTAATAATAATCACTGGATCCAGATACCAGTAACAGATATATGTGTAATTCATACTACTTGCAATCAATGTAATAATAATCACTGGATCCAGATACCAGTAACAGGTATATGTGTAATTCATACTACTGGGAATCAATGTAATAATAATCACTGGATCCTGATACCAGTAACAGGTATATGTGTAATTCATACTACTGGGAATCAGTGTAATAATAATCACTGGATCCTGATACCAGTAACAGGTATATGTGTAATTCATACTACTGGGAATCAGTGTAATAATAATCACTGGATCCAGATACCAGTAACAGGTATATGTGTAATTCATACTACTGGGAATCAGTGTAATAATAATCACTGGATCCTGATACCAGTAACAGGTATATGTGTAATTCATACTACTGGGAATCAATGTAATAATAATCACTGGATCCTGATACCAGTAACAGGTATATGTGTAATTCCTACTACTGGGAATCAATGTAATAATAATCACTGGATCCTGATACCAGTAACAGGTATATGTGTAATTCCTACTACTGGGAATCAATGTAATAATAATCACTGGATCCTGATACCAGTAACCGGTATATGTGTAATTCCTACTACTGGGAATCAGTGTAATAATAATCACTGGATCCTGATACCAGTAACAGGTATATGTGTAATTCTACTACTGCCAGGAATCAGTGTGTAATCACTGGATCCTGATACCAGTAACAGGTATATGTGTAATTCATACTACTGGAATCCAGTGTAATATGTCCACTGGATCAGATACATTAACAGGTATATGTGTAATTCATACTACTGGGGAATCAGTGTAATAATAATCACTGGATCCTGATACTGGCCAACAGGTATATGTGTAATTCATACTACTGGGAATCAGTGTAATAATAATCACTGGATCAGATACCAGTAACAGGTATATGTGTAATTCATACTACTGGGAATCAGTGTAATAATAATCACTGGATCCTGATACCAGTAACAGGTATATGTGTAATTCATACTACTGGGAATCAGTGTAATAATAATCACTGGATCCAGATACCAGTAACAGGTATATGTGTAATTCATACTACTGGGAATCAGTGTAATAATAATCACTGGATCCTGATACCAGTAACAGGTATATGTGTAATTCATACTACTGGGAATCAGTGTAATAATAATCACTGGATCCTGATACCAGTAACAGGTATATGTGTAATTCATACTACTGGGAATCAGTGTAATAATAATCACTGGATCCAGATACCAGTAACAGGTATATGTGTAATTCCTACTACTGGGAATCAGTGTAATAATAATCACTGGATCCTGATACCAGTAACAGGTATATGTGTAATTCCTACTACTGGGAATCAGTGTAATAATAAACACTGGATCCTGATACCAGTAACAGGTATATGTGTAATTCCTACTACTGGGAATCAGTGTAATAATAATCACTGGATCCTGATACCAGTAACAGGTATATGTGTAATTCCTACTACTGGGAATCAGTGTAATAATAATCACTGGATCCTGATACCAGTAACCGGTATATGTGTAATTCATACTACTGGGAATCAGTGTAATAATAATCACTGGATCCAGATACCAGTAACAGGTCTATGTGTAATTCCTACTACTGGGAATCAGTGTAATAATAATCACTGGATCCAGATACCAGTAACAGGTATATGTGTAATTCATACTACTGGGAATCAATGTAATAATAATCACTGGATCCTGATACCAGTAACAGGTATATGTGTAATTCATACTACTGGGAATCAGTGTAATAATAATCACTGGATCCTGATACCAGTAACCGGTATATGTGTAATTCATACTACTGGGAATCAGTGTAATAATAATCACTGGATCCAGATACCAGTAACAGGTATATGTGTAATTCCTACTACTGGGAATCAGTGTAATAATAATCACTGGATCCTGATACCAGTAACAGGTATATGTGTAATTCATACTACTGGGAATCAGTGTAATAATAATTACTGGATCCTGATACCAGTAACCGGTATATGTGTAATTCCTACTACTGGGAATCAGTGTAATAATAATCACTGGATCCTGATACCAGTAACAGGTATATGTGTAATTCATACTACTGGGAATCAATGTAATAATAATCACTGGATCCTGATACCAGTAACAGGTATATGTGTAATTCCTACTACTGGGAATCAGTGTAATAATAATCACTGGATCCTGATACCAGTAACAGGTATATGTGTAATTCCTACTACTGGGAATCAGTGTAATAATAATCACTGGATCCTGATACCAGTAACCGGTATATGTGTAATTCATACTACTGGGAATCAATGTAATAATAATCACTGGATCCTGATACCAGTAACAGGTATATGTGTAATTCCTACTACTGGGAATCAGTGTAATAATAATCACTGGATCCTGATACCAGTAACCGGTATATGTGTAATTCATACTACTGGGAATCAGTGTAATAATAATGACTGGATCCTGATACCAGTAACAGGTATATGTGTAATTCATACTACTCAATAGTCTGTTAAATAAAAGCACTCTGTATTTATTATAATTTATTATTTCATCTGTAGGATGACGTTCAGTGAATTATAAAATAGATTAATTTCGTAGTTTCATAGATCTTTGCTATAAATGGAAGTGTTCGTGTGGGCTCATTTTCGATTTAAAAGTTATATTCGTTATTTCTATTCATGCTCTGCGCAGTATTGAGGCAAAGCCAAGATTTCTTGTTCTTGTCCACCACTACTGGAAGGCTATGCCATGCATCTACAATTCTTTCTTGAAATACATGTTGCCTCTAAATTACCATCTTTAACTTGACTTATTCACTGTCTTCTCTTCCCGGTGATTTGTACATTAGAGAGCTCTTTTTACCGCAGACCTTGCACTGTATTAGGGCCAGTTTAAATTTCCTTTGTAGATGCGTCTTACTGATATCTGCTTAAATGGATAATCTGTGCTCCAAAACCGCGAAAGCTTGCTGCCGTGGCTATGGCGCCGGAGTTCCAGTCCAATTCAAACCATTCACCTTGTTTTCGACACAACTAAAACTTGTATGACTGTGGCCAACGTTTGTTTTATATTTGTCGTGTATGTCGCCCTCGAGCATATCAAGACTGCTTTCTGTGTGCTTACAATGCACTAACTTTAGTATCTAAGGTATTTACTACATTGTAAATTGTTGTTAACCAGCCTCAAGATTAGCAGAGGATTATGGGACATGTAGTTCAGACACATCTAGTATGCTAAGGAAAAGTGTTGGTGTGTTTAATATGCTGTGTCAGACAAATGCGAGATTACCGGTAACGATCATTTTTATTCCAATGCGTAACCAGTGTTTTGATGTAAACATTCACAGGCAAGCAGTAAAAATGCCAAACTGCATAGTCGATAACTGTAAATATTACTCTGGAAAGAAGTTGAAAGGCCCTGATGTGACATTGCACGTGTTTCCTAAAAATGTGGACATAATCAAAAAATGGCTGCTGCAAGTACAAGAGTCAGGCCAGAGTTTTGGCGACCTAGATGAGTTTGTGCAACGCGTTTACGATGGTAAAAAAAGTGACGTTTTTCGAATTTGCTCACAACACTTTGCTGAAGACTGTTACACATATCAAGTAGTTCAAAAAAGAATAATGAAGAAAGACTCGATACCTACAATATTTACCAGGCAGAATGAACAGGAAGATATATCAGACTTTAACGGACTATCAGCCAGGAGATATCGGAGGAAGGGCAGATTGGATTCATCATTTGAAAATGGGCAGCAGGAATTATTTCAAAACATGGTTAATCCACTGTCTGAGATGGATGAGATGTTTGGTGGGATGAAGCAAGACTCTGTCCTGCAATCTTCTCTTCATGATTCTGTGAGTGAAGTTGATGGAATTCAGCCTTCCATGAACCAGGCAAGTGATATTGAATTTTCGGGGGGGGGTGGGGTTGTGTTTTTTTAATTTTTTATTTACATTACATAGAGATTTACTGTATTGACAGCTTCTTTCATGACGTTATAGTTTCCCCTATATATCTTACCGTGACCCTCCATTGACCACTGTATTTAACATTATGCTTGCTACTTAGTCACCTTGTAATTTAAAGTTCTGTTACATTCAACAATACACTTGGTGGCATCTGTGGCGTTTTATTGCTCTCTCTATTCTATATCGGGCTTTTTAAACTCTGACCTACAGATGTTGCTAAACTACTACTGCCATGATTCTCTGGGAATTGTAGTCAATCAACATCTTTGGGTAGCGGGACAACATTTGAGATCCCTGGTGTATATGATGCATATTCTATAAACTTGCGTAGTGGTCTTACCGTTTTCCAGTCTCTAGGTTACTAGTGTTGCTGAGTATTTTCTGTTCACCTTTGTAGCCACATCCCACCGTACTTCACTAACCATATGTGAGTGTGTTACATGCTGCAATTAGTATTTTCTGTGATGTCTCCCGGAAAGATGTTGTTGTTCTCATTGCAGGGTAATAAATATGAAAGAGGATTCCTGACATGTCACACCTACCCCTTTACATCAGGGAAAAATCTGAAAACTCTTCACAACAGTTTCATGTTAATGTTATGTCGTTCCCAGTTTGCCTGTATCCGTTTCTATATAATTTCAGAAATTGGATGGTTTGTGTGAATTCAGTCCATTTGACAAGAACCGGGCCAGGATCTCGGATGATCTGGTTGACTCCGTGTTCATAAAAAAGGACAGGAATGGGGTGACCGAAAGAATCTTGGCTCTCACCTTGCAGATTATCTACCTGCTGACTGGAGAGGTGAGGGATTCTATCACAGCGATTTCCTATTTTATTTCCATTTTAACACAGACTCCATGGCTGACGTAGGAGAGATGTTAGTGAATCCAGGAATTGTACAGCTAGGTGTATCACCGGTTTAGTAGGGTATTGGTAATTTAGAAAGCGTTAGTTCAGATGTAGCTGGTTAATAGGAAGGCAAAGAACTGTATAGCGACATGAAAGGAACCTTGGTAGAAATGGTACACCCAATGAGATCTCATTGTTAGTCCTCTGAGATATGTCTTACAGGATTATGTACTAAAGTGAGGATTCAAGTGAATTTCAAACTTAAACGGACAGTTTTTGAGAGACTTCCAGACAGCCACTATAGGCTTTTTTGGGAGTTTACCGGACTGCGCATTGAGTCGGTGTTTTCCAATGGGGATGGCCTAATGCACTTGAGGGCATTAGGTCCCCCCCCCACCTCAGCTGACGTCGGAGGAGGTGGAGGGCGACCCAGCGCAGGGGGATCAGCACTCAAATCGGGTAAGTAAATATGTTTGTTTCTTTTAAAACCTTTACATGCAGGGGGAGGGGTTGTGAGGGAGGCAGGGGAACAGAGGGCACTATAATGTTAGGAATACAACTTTGTATTCCTAACACTATAGAATCCCCTTAGGGCCAAAATAGCGGAATTGGAACCATTCTTTGAAGAGGCTCTGTCACCTTCTGGGGTCTATGCTTATTTTGAAAATACCCCAGATGGTTACTTTGCTGCATGCAGTGAGGCGGATGTGGGGCGCAACGAAAGGTGAGTTTTACTTACCTGAACCTATCCTTTGCGGCCACCATCTTTTTCTGTGGGATCCTATTCAGGTCCTGGCACTTCAACAACCAGGAGCAGACATCAGTGCTTTACACTTGTGCATGCGCGAAAGTATAACACTAATGTCTATATAGGAGACAGCGAGAAGCTCCATAGACAACCCCTCAGCCATAACTAACGATGGTTGAGGGCATGACAAAGCTTGATACCATTAGCTTTGCCTTCTGGTTAAGTACAGAAAACACCGAGTCATTTTAAGGCAGTAATTCCTCTAGTTTAGCTACTTTGTACTAAAATGTGAAATTCACGGTGAATTCTTGCTTTGGTAAATAAACCTATGAGGTTTCCTCATGATATGTTAATATCACTAACTTAGTATCACTAACTGTGTAGGATTATACGGTCACGAAGAAGTCTGGTGAACATGTGACACACAGCAAAAGTCCCTGTGTATCAGAAGAATTATTCAGGCCCACAAGTCCCAGCACGGTGCCACTGATGAATGAGAAGAAGGTCCTTGAACTGACCAATCAGATCATCCAGCTGCTGACTGGAGAGGTGAGGATGCTGGGAATGGGACATTATACAGTTAAACCAAGGGATGTGTCTGGATGGTGACTGTATCATTGTGTGTGACAGGTTCCTATAAGGTGTGAGGATGTCACTGTCTATTTCTCCATGGAGGAGTGGGAGTATTTAGAAGGACACAAGGATGTATACAAGGATGTAATGATGGAGAATCACAAGACCCTCAGTTCACTGGGTAAGACATTAGCAAATGTAATCTGGGAACTAAAATGTCTTAAATACTGTATTTTTGTAATGGTATACATTTTTTTATCACCTCAAATTTTGGGTAAAACACTGCCTGCATTTTATATGCCAAATGTGTCTTTTATACTTTGTATAAACTGCCAACTGCCACTGGACCCCAGGGAAACCACCCTCCAGAAAAAGGTAAGAACCTGGAGGGCGGCTAGATGTAGCATGTGTGTGTCAGTATGTCTGTATGTGTGTATGCCTGTGTGTGTGTGTCAGCATGTCTGTGTGTGTGTGTGTGTGTCAGTACGTGTGTGTGTGTGTCTGCGTGTGTCAGTATGCCTTTGTTTGTGTCACTATGTCTTTGTGTGTGTCAGTATGTCTGTCTGTGTGTATGTCCGTATGTTTGTGTCGGTGTGTCTGTGTATGTCAGTATGTCTGAATGTGTGTCAATATGTCTGCCAGTATATATTTGTGTGTCAATATGTCTGTGTGTGTCAGTATGTATCTGCGAATGTGTCAATATGTCTGTGTGTGTGTGTGTGTACGTGTCAGTCTGTCTGTGTGTGTGTATGTGTCAGTATGTCTGTGTGTGTGTCAGTATGTCTGTCTGTCTGTGTGTGTATGTGTCAGTATGTCTGTGTGTGTGTGTGTCAGATTGTCTGTCTGTGTGTGTATGTGTCAGTATGTCTGTGTGTGTGTGTGTCAGATTGTCTGTCTGTGTGTGTGTGTGTCAGTATGTATCTGCGAATGTGTCAATATGTCTGTGTGTGTGTGTACGTGTCAGTGTGTGGATGTGTCAATATGTCTGTGTGTGTGTACGTGTCAGTCTGTCTGTGTGTGTGTGTATGTGTCAGTATGTCTGTGTGTGTGTGTGTCAGATTGTCTGTCTGTGTGTGTGTGTGTCAGTATGTATCTGCGAATGTGTCAATATGTCTGTGTGTGTGTGTACGTGTCAGTGTGTGGATGTGTCAATATGTCTGTGTGTGTGTGTACGTGTCAGTGTGTGTATGTGTCAGTATGTCTGTGTGTGTATGTGTCAGTATGTCTGTCAGTGTATATGGCTGTGTAAGTATGTTTTGAATCTCTCTACATTAGTTCCCCGACTGCATTGGGGTGAAAAGTGTGATGGGGGTTGGGTGTAATTGGGGGGTGGGAGGGGCAAGGAAATTCTTTGCCCAGGGTCCTATTCATATTATAGGTGGCCCTGGTTGTTAGTATGTAAGATGAAAACTGTAATTTTACTCACTGTAAATTCCTTTTTCCTTAATATGGAGGCAGTACAATAGGGTTTTACCTTTCCCTCGGGACCAGCATCTGAAATAATTAACATAAAAAGTTCCTCCCCTTACCAGGTATGAGAGACCAAACCAGCCCTGGGACCTCAGTACGTACCATGAACACCTCAGTGAATGAATCCATAGAACACCCAAAAAATAAAATATACACACACATAAAGGGAGGGATTGATGTACTGCCACCATATTAAGAAAAAAGGAATTAACGGTGAGTAAAATTACAGTTTTTCCTGACATATGGTGGCAGTACAATAGGGATATATCGAGATCCCAGACTAAGGGCGGGAATTTAGGCAATAACAGCTTGTAACACCTTGTGCCCAAAATCAGCATCAGAGGCAGAGAATACGTCTAGCCTGTAATGTTTGACAAAAGTGTTGAAAGAAGACCAGGTAGCCGCCTTGTATCTTCCGGAGAGGCACACACTTTTTCGGCAGCCATGGCTCTAGTAGAATGTGCTTTCAAGGAGGCAGGCAGAGGTAGATTCGAGGTAGAATAAGCCAATTTAATAGTATCCACCAGTCATCTTGCCAAAGTGGCCTTGGAGGCAACTTGGCCTTTACATTTTCCAAAGAAATTCACGAATAGATGATCAGTCATCCTATACGCAGAGGAGCGGTCCAAGTAGATTGTCAGAGACCTACCAAAATCTAGTTGGTTCCAATCAAATTCCCAATCTGGCAAAGATGGACCATTAAAGGAAGGAAGAAAAATAGGTTGGTTTATAACCTTGGAGGAGATGACTTTCGGAAGAAAGGAAGGCTTAGGGTACATAACCACTTTAATCCGGAAGAAATTTTGTAAATTCAGGAGAGGAAGAAAGGGCCTGGAGTTCCCCTATCCTCTTAGCCGAAGTAATGGCCACCAAAAACACGGTCTTCAGGGACAGATTCTTCAATGAAGCTTCTTCCAAAGGTTCGAAAGGCTGAGTTCACAGAGATTTCAAAACTAAAGACAAATCCCAAGAAGGAAAACAGATTTTCTTAGGAGGCTTTTACGAGTCTTACATCTTTAAAAAATCTCCTAATGAGAGGATCAGAAGCCCAATTTTTTTACCAAAAAATGACTGAGAGCAGAAACTTGGACTTTGAGAGTAGACAGACTAAAACCTTGAGCAAGACCATCTTGCAAAAAATGAAGGATAGTGTGACAGATTCATCTGTATTGCTGGTTCGTCTATTTCCCTTTGTTCGCTGAATTGCCTGTTCACATAACCCCGTTCGTGGAATTTGCAAACTACCGATTGAAACTACCGAACGAACGACCACCCAGGAGATGAGTGTGCTGTTGGTTAACCTCTTGGCCCCAATTAGAACGTTGTGGTTAACCGCAGACACCTCTCCATTCCATTCGTACGGGTGGTCGTCGTTCGCATGTCGACCACGAGGCAGCGGCCATTTTGGGACATACGAACACATAGCGGTGTTCGGTACAAACTGTATGGAACTAAAAACGGACACTTAAACTACCGAACACCGCTGGAAGCTGCTGCCTCCCTTCCATTTCGACAAGGCATGCGAACGTCGGTCGTTCGGGAGTTTTTATTCATTCGTATGGACTTTCACCCAGACAGCTATCCCATGGAGTCATTCGTATACCGAAGGACTGGTGAAAGACTTTGACTCCATGGCGATTCGACTAGATACATCAGATCTGAGCGCTATTCGGTGAAAACATGCACTCAGATCCAGGCTGTCTGGGGATACGTTACACGAACCATATGCATTCGGTATTTCTGCAGTTATGTATTTTAATGTATTTTTATTATTGTAAGTTAAAATGGCGATTGTCTCTACCTTGGGAGATAATTAGGTTTCTTCCTAATTATCTCAGAGGTAGAGAAGACGGAATTATGGGCAAGATGGGAAGGGCTATTATTGAAGCCACTGCGATTGGCTACTGTCCACTATGTCTTACAGTCTTCCACAAGGTCCCCTCGGGGAGTGTCCACCTTGTGGAGACCTGCATAAATACCGGGCAGGAAGCCCCCATTAAACAGATCTTCATTTGACCCTCAAGACGGAGCTTGGTCTCGTTTGTGGGGGGAATTATTACTGGGACAGCGCTTTCGTTATTTTTAGCTGTGGAAGGTGTTCGACTGTTTTGCTGATCGGGAGTTGCCGTGTTCGTGGACTTCGTTCGGGAGTTTGGCGGTCGGCTGGATTTAAACTGCATTTCTGGAGAAGGGGATTATTGACTAAACGGCGGCTTCATCTACTCGACGGTACGTGTCGTAACAGATAGTATCAGTAGAAGGAGAGGATCCTATGCAATGATGAGATATGCACCAGTGAAGAAATCTCATCCAAATCTTTAAGTAGATAGAAGAGGTAGAGCTCCTGGTAGAATTTAACAGTAACTGAAACCTCTCTTCTTGAATGCCCCATTATGCAGAATTAGCCGTGCAGCACCCAAGCTGTCAACCTGAACATGTTCAATACTTGTACTGGAATTCCCTCGTTTTCCAGAAGATCCGGTGTTACCGGGAGAATCCAGTACTTTAAAGCCATTTTCTTTAAAACCGAGAACCAGCTGCGGTTTGGCCAGTACGGTACTATGGCCAGAATATGAGCTTTTTCTGATGTTACCTTTTGCAGAATACTTGGGACAAGGCTTACTGGGGGAAAAATGTAAGCAAGGGGAAACTCCCACCGGTTCAAAAGACCATCCATTACCAGTGGCCTGTCTACCTTGAAGAGGGAGGCAAACGATCTTCTTGCCATAAGGTCTATGACTAGAAGACTGAATCTCTTCACCAGATGAGCGAAAATTTCTGGATTGAGAGACCAGTCATTCTGGGACCATTTTGATCTGCTTAAATCGTCCGCTACCACGTTGTCTACTCCTCGAATGTGAATGGCTGAAATGTCGTCTAGATGACTTTGAGCCCAGGACATAATCTGTGAGCAAAGGAAATACAATTTTTTACTCTTGTACCGCCTTTTTTGTTTAGGTAGGAGACTGTAGTCTGATTGTCCGACTGGATTTTTACAGCTTTTCCTACAATGAAATCCTTGAACTGCTGAAGAGTGTAGAGTACTGTTAACAACTCTTTGAAATTTGAAGATTCCTTTGTTTCCTTTTCTGACCAAACACCTTGTCTTAAGTGATATGGGGGGTGAGCTCCCCAACCTGTATTTGAAGCGTCTGTAGAAATCACGATCCAAGATTTTTGACGAAAAGACAGGCCTTCTGTAATAAATTTTTCCTCTAGCCACCAAGAGATTTTTTCTTTTGTATGACCTGATATACTCATTAAAGCATCCAAGTCTTCTTCCTTCTTTGACCATTGGACAAGAATTTCCCACTGTAACGGCCTTGATTCCGCTCTGGCCCATTTTACTGCCGGGATTGTAGAGGTCAGATTACCTAAAACCTGCATGGCTTTCCTCACCGAACATTCTGACATCCAAAGAAGGTTTTTTATTAAAATATTTATCTTTTTTCTCTTTTCTCTTGTCAGATGAACCGACAGAGTATCTGACTTGATCAAAAACCCTAGAAACAGGATAGACCTTGTGGGGGTAAGGTGTGATTTTTCTAGGTTGATAATCCAACCATGTTCTTCCAGGATTTCTAGCGTATAGGCCACATCTGACTCTAGAGCGCCTCTTGAATCTGCCTTTATTAACCAGTCGTCCAAGTAAGGTACTACTGTGATTCCTTGCATCCTTAAAAAAGCTGTGACCGGTGTGAGGAACTTTGTAAAAATCCTGGGTGTTGAAGCTAGCCCGAATGGAAGGGCATTGAATTGGAAATGATGGCCCTTTTTCCCTTTCCTTATAGCAAACCTCAGGTATTTTCTTGATTTCACATCCATAGGAATATGCAGGTAGGCATCCTTTAGATCTAAAGTTGCCATGAAATCTCCTTTTCGAAGGATATGAGTGACAGATGCTATAGTCTCTATTCTGAAATGTTGGTAAGGAATGAGCTTGTTCAGGTTTTTTAGATCCAAGATTGGAAGAAAAGACATGTCCGGTTTTGGGACTAGGAACAACCGGGAGTATACACCCTGATATACTTGGGAAGTTGGAATCCTTTCTACCACACCTTTTCTTAATAGGGAGACTGTGGCAGAATAAAGGGCTTGGGTTTTTTAACTTCGACCGGTAGGAGGAGACAAGGAAACTTGGTCTTGGAACATCAAAGAATTTTATTCGGTAGCCTTTTTGCACCAGATTCAGAATCCAAGGATTTGTAGTGGTCTCCCTCCATCTCTGAACAAAACCTTGCAACCTTCCGCCCACTCTGATGGCGTCAGAAACGTTTGTTTCTGTCAGACTTATTGTCTTTTTGTGTCACTTCTTGGATTTTTCCTTTGTTGACGAAAAAACCTGGGTTTTTCTTGAAAGCCCCTACGGTTTTTGAACTGGAAATTTCTATACCTGGGTTTCCAGGCATATTTTCTGTCTTGAGACAGGGCCTTCTTGGTTTCCGACATCTGTCGGATTAACCCTTCTAAAGGAGAACCAAACAACTTTTTCTTCTCCAAAGGCAGTTCACATAATGCAGATTTTGATGCAATGTCTGCTGTCCAGGCCTTAAGCCACAGTGCCCTTCGGGCCACAGATGTCAAACCCATGACACGAGCCAAAAGCTTAATTACCTCCGTGATAATATCCATAATGTACTCATTAGACAACCTCAAATTTTGGAACAGGAGGGAAAGGTCTTTGTCTTGGTTATCACCCAGACCATCTTCCAAAGTGTTAAGCCAAAGATTCTGAGCTCTCACCGCTGAAGCCCCAGCTAATGCTGCTTCAGCCTGAAAACCTGCAGCCTGATAAGCCCTTCTGCTGGAAGTTTCAGCCCTCTTATCCATAGGGTCTTTCAGACCAGAAACTTCCCCAATAGGTATGGTAGTTTTTTTAGACAATTGAGCCACTTGTAAATCAACTACCGGCAATTCTTCCCATTTATCTTCCTCCTCCATTTTAACAATACTTTTAAAATGTCTGGAGATAAAAGCCCTTTTCTCAGGGTTCTTCTATTCTCTGAATATCAAATCCAGCATTTTTTGTTGGACTGGAATTGCTTTACCTTTGGATTTGCCTACCGTTTCATCAGAAAGGATAACATTAACCTCTTTAATAAATTTTCTTAATTCATCCAATTCAAACCAACCTCAGTAATAGAAGAGTCGCTAGAGGATTCTGAATAAGAACATTCACCCGAGGATAGTTCTGAACTAGATGTAGTTTTCTTCCTTTTAGACTTCTGTTTAGTAGCTTTTACAGGAGAAGTGTGAGCAGGCTCTTTAAAAGACTCAAAAGTCTGGGCCAGATTATCCTGAAACCAAGACGAAAATGATTTCATCTCTTGTTGCTTGGATTTTTCTAGTGTCAAAGAAGATCAAATATTACAGACTTTCCTTTTAAAACCATCTGGTAAAGGAGTGGAGCATTCACTACAACAGAGATATTTAGCTGTGGAACTGGCTTTTTTTAGAAGCAGGAGTAGGCACTTTGTCTTTAGCCATATCATCCGTAGAGACAGGACTAGACATATCTGTAATACATAAGCAAATAAACCATATTTGTAGAAACAATAAAAATAGAGAGTTTTAAAGATTATAAACCTAAAGAATCATACCTCTAAAACCTCTGACCCGTGTGGGGGGGCTGGTGACACGGGAGACTTTCACTGCCGAGCATCCATGCTGACAGTAAGATCTGCACAGCATAAATAGGCAGATCCTTTGAAATCTAGCGCCATTTCGGGATGTTCAGACCGCGCACGTGCATTGCGCGGTCGGAACTCTGGTGGAACGCATAACCACCCGGGTGTGCGTTCCACCGCCGTGTGCATGCGTCTCCGACGGGCAGTGATTTGCTGCCACTAGAGACCGCCTCCCTGCTTCGCCGGTGACTGCACTCGGCATAAAGCAGGCTTCCCATACCTGCTCCGTAATCATGCAGGATGCTTGCTGGCCATTCAGCTCTCCACCCGGGGGGCTATCAGACCGGATCCGCCTGGCAGCAACCCATGTGCCTCACCATCTCATTCCAGATGCCGTCCGTTCCTGATGGAACAAGAAAGAGAATTGAGGTCCCAGGGCTGGTTTGGTCTCTTATACCTGGTAAGGGGAGGAACTTTTTATGTTAATTATTTATTTCAGATGCTTGTCCCGAGGGAAGAGTACATCCCTGTTGTACTGCACCATATGTCAGGAAAAAATGCAAATACCTTTTAAAGTCTAAATCTAAAAACAGAACCCACAGCATATATATATATTTATACCAGAGGTGTACGGCAAAAGGGAGCTCTACTAAGTACTAAAGATGCTTTCCATGGAGGGGTTGAATAATTTTGAGACTGGAGAAGTCATTATAATTTGCATTTTTAGTTGAATTTTGGGAAACCACTTGAAGCATTCGTTGTGTTGAGCTATTTCAATTGCTTTTGTTTATTTTGTCCATTGCAAACAGCTGAAAGTCTGTACATGATTTACAACAAACCTAATTTTCAATGGGGATTGGATAATTTTAATTATAACTGTAAATAGAGTATCTTTGCTGTTTTATAAAAATATCATGCATACAGAATTCTTGTTTCATTAAGAGATATCAATAGTTATTTATTTATATAGAGTGTCCCTTTAATAAACATGGCACGTATTATACGATCACTAGCCTTCTGCAATTAATGTGGGTTGATGATATCATATTGAGATCAGCGATATCTCCGGCACGGGCTCTTAGAATATCCAAGAATTACTATATCATTATTAATTGCATTATCTTTTACATTGTTTTATAGGTTGAAAAATGTCTTGCGTCCATCATCTTCAGACTAACTCACAATAATTGTTTTGCTATTAATCAAAAAGAAGGCAAAAAAACTATTTTGAAAACTTTCTATTATACAAAAAGTAATTTATTTTTTTTTAATGTCAAAATTGTGAATTGCATTTGTTAGACCTGAAACAAAGGGACTCTATAGTCAACAAAACAACTTTAGCTTAATGAAGCAATCAAGCAAGTGTTGTATATAGATCACGTCTCTGCAGTCTCACTGCTCAATTCTCTACCATTAACAAGTTAAATCACTTTTGGTTCTGTTGTGCAGCCTGAGCCACATCTCCCCCTGGCTGTAGCTGACACAGCCTGCATGAAAAAAAAAATTGGTTTAATTTTTCAGTCAGATGTTAACTTGCTTTAGAAGTTTTTAACTCCTGCTCTGTAAATTGAACTCTAACCACACATAGGCGGGTCCTGCAAGGTCTAGCAAGCTATTAGTAGTGCAGAATATAAGAAATTCTAAATTGAACAGAATTTGCAAAAAAGGCAGTGTAAACATTAGATCACACTTTACAGGAAGTATTTAGGAAGGCTGTGCACATTACAGGCAGGGAGGTGTAACTAGGGCAGCATAAACAAAGTGATAGAACTCCTAAATGGCAGAGAATTGAGCAGTGATACTGCAGGGGCATGATCTATACACCAAAACTGCTTCATTGAGCTAAAGTTGTTTTGGGGCTATAGTGCCCCTTTAAATAAATATCGGTTTGATGTAATAAGAGAAAGTTTTTTGTTTGTTTTTTTCTCTTTAATAGATGGATTCACAAAGAGAACTACAGCATCGGATGCTTTTTCATCACAATATTGTACGAGTGACGTTAAAAATGTTAATGAACTCACAGTTGGAAAACAATTTACTGAGAAATATAAAGCAAGAAAGGGGCAGGACAAATACAGCGCACATGAGGAACAATTCGTTTTGGATGAAGGACATCACACAGACACTTGCACACCCACAGACTACAAATTAATCCGTATTAAAGAGGAATATTACTCCGATGAAGATGATGGTCTCTCGGATGCTGACCTTCATACACCCACAGATTACACAGATACAGAATATCAATCAACTCATATTAAGGAAGAATTAGCCTCAAGTGAAGAAGGAACTCTTACAGACACCGACATGTATGCAAACACAGAATATCCACCTACTGACATTATGGAGGAATCAGCCGCTTGTGAAGATGGAAAACTCACCGACATGCAGAATTACTGGAAAAAGAACTGTAATCCACACAAAACAAATAAAGCATTGTCACAAACTCCATGCACTAAGTTTAATGAAACATTAAATAAGAAATCCACGACACAACACCAAAATAGACTCTCCAAAAAAGAGACGCATAGCAATTTCAAGAGCCAGAAAAGTTTAATTTTGAACTCTGATCTGATTGGCAATCAGACGGTACAGCAGCAAAACAAAATGGCGTGTTCGGAATGTGGAAAACAGTTCCTATATAAATCATATCTTGTGATACATCAGAGGATTCACACAGGAGAAAAACCATTCTCATGTTCAGAATGTGGGAAATGTTTTAGTCAGGCGTCACACCTGACTGCCCATCGAACAGTTCACACAGGAATAAAGCCATTTGCTTGCTCTGAATGTGGGAAACGATTTGCTCAAAGCTCCCATCTTGAAAAACATGAAAGGATTCACACAGGAGAGAAACCATTTTCCTGCTCTGAGTGTGGGAAATCTTTTTCTATTTATGAAAATCTTATGACACACCAGAGAATTCACACTGGAGTCAAACCATTCATATGTTCAGAATGCGGGAAAAAATTCACCCGTCTTTCATATCTTGTTTCACACCGCAGGACTCACACGGGTGAGAGACCATTCTCCTGCTCTGAATGTGGGGAACGTTTTACGAAGAAATCGGGCCTTAAAGCCCATGAAGCTGTTCATACAGGACGAAAACCATTTTCCTGCACAGAATGTGGAAAATCGTTTAGTTTCCGTGGAAATCTTGTAACTCATCAGAAGATTCACACAAAAAAGAAACCGTTCACGTGCTCTGACTGTGGGAAATGTTTTTCAGGCCGTTATTATTTCATCAAACATCAGAGGACTCACACATGAGTTACATTATCATGTCCTGAAAAATAGGAAAATCACATGGTGATAAAATGACTCCTGTACAATGAATAAGCATTGATCTATTAACTCTATTAACACATCACTTGATGCAAAAGGGAACTTGCTCACATGAATTGGCACATAAGCTGTTTTATGTTATATATTTTTAAAATAAAATCTATGGTTAATATTCCCTATATCGCAAATTACAATGACTTGAAAATCACTTTCCAAAATGTAGTCAGCAGTAGCTGCTTGGCAAAAAAATCTTCAACTCACTTTTGGTCAAGTTTACCTGTTGCAGCCTAAATTTGGCAATCTACTTCTCAGTTGACTGTAATTTAATGTTAATAATTTAATGTAAGTGAAGTTGGTTCCAGCAATTGTACTTCTCACTATTCTGGTGCAGCACTCATTCAAAGGCTTTGGTTAATTAAAGGACCACTCTAGGCACCCAGACCACTTCAGCTTAATGAAGTGGTCTGGGTGCCTGGTCCTTCTAGGGTTAACCCATTTTTTTTTTTATAAACATAGCAGTTTCAGAGAAACTGCTATGTTTATGAATGGGTTAAGCCTTCCCCTTAATCCTCTAGTGGCTGTCTCATTGACAGCCACTAGAGGCGCTTGCGTGCTTTTCACAGTGAGAGCACGCCAGCGTCCATAGGAAAGCATTGTAAATGCTTTCCTATGCGACGGGCTGAATGCGCGCGCAGCTCTTGCCGCGCGTGCGTATTTAGCCGGCGGTGAGGATCGGAGGAGGAGAGAAGGAGGAGAGCTCTCCGCCCAGCGCTGGAAAAAGGTAAGTTTTTAACCCTTTCCCCTTTCCAGAGCCGGGCGGGAGGGGGGTCCCTGAGGGTGGGGGCACCCTCAGGGCACTATAGTGCCAGGAAAACGATTATGTTTTCCTGGCACTATAGTGGTCCTTTAAATCATATGATGATCTAGGACAGGGCAAGCTTTGGCACTTCATGTGTGGTGGACTACATCTCCCATAATCCCATAATGATAACAAACCATCAGTGGAGATATAGTCCACAACATCTTGAGCATTTAACACTCCCAGCACGACTACCATTTCTCTAACTCGTTAAATAAAATGTTATTTTCTGTTTTACTGTTATCGGCATAATTGGAGCTAGGAAAGAAAGCTATATCCTAATTTTCACTTGGATTTGGAACAAAACTAAGGGAATAATTTGGTTCCTCCTCCTGGATGTAACCCTCATTTCCAGAGGAAGGGAGGTCTAGTGCAGGGTAGGCATCCTTCGGCACCACAGATGTTGTGGACTTCATCCCCCATAATGCTCTTACAGACATACTGCTGGCAAAGCATCATAGGAGGTGTAGTCAGAAACATCTGGAGTGCCGAAGGTGTATTCTGTTTATGTCCAATACAGGCTCAAGACCTTTAGCACACCTCTGAAAGTTTCATTTAATTAAATCTTATGTGTTATACTTGTTACAAGTAAACTAGTCATAGCATATATTAAATAGAAGGCTTATTATAGTGTTAGTACACAACTTGTATTCAAAAGTTATAAAATATCTGTAGACAAGGATACATTTTTAAAAAATCATTTATCACCTTGTGTACTTAAGTTATTGGCATGTATTATAAGCCATTACTCCACCTATTCCAGCTAGATTCTCAATGTATCCATTTGCTCCCCAAATTTTAGTGAGTGGAAGGTAATTGCAAAGCATATACCTCAGTCCCGCAGAATTTTAATATGTCTCCTGGAGACGGGTTCCTGGTGGCTATCACGGTGACTGGCTGTAAGATACCAGACGTTATCCTTGGCCAAATATGTCACTGGCTCTATCACAGGATGATGCAGAGAAGCTCATGTTTTTTTTTTTTTTTCTTCAAAATACTGCATTTCAGATCCTAGAACTGCAGCCAACAATGAATAATAATCACTTTTTAATTTGGGGGAATTTTTTTTCCTGGTGTGTATAAAATGTGAACAGATTATTTCCCAGTAGAATCATGTGTGGTGTATTGTGTCTAAAGGAAACGGAACATATTGCAAACGTTCATTGTTCTGGAGCCATGGTTTTTAAACATCAGACATCCACCTGTAGGGGGAAGAAATTCCCATGACTCTTCGCAGCCTGTTACTGTGCTTTTGTTGGCACTTAGTTTGTGCAGATTGTAATTTTTGTTAACAGCTATTATTTGAATACTCTTGCTCTCTAACAGTGATCCTACATTCTTTCATGTCTCTGGAATTAAGAGTTTTAGAGGAAGGATCTAAACAAATCACATATTTATAAAATCATTAAAAAGACAATAATTAATTGGTTTTGTTTGTCAATTAGCCTTTGAGTCAACCTCTTGAGTCCACCTTCAGGTATTTATGATGTGGGAATATTTATGGGATGATAATATTATACAGTTGAGAATTGCCCACTATTTCAATTCTCTTAGATCAGTGGTGGCGAACCTATGGCACGCGTGCCACAGGTGGCACGCCGCGCCCCCTCTGTGGGCACGCGGCCATAGGTCGCCGTGCGCTCCGCCGGCGCATCCATAAGGCAGCACAAGTTGCCGCCTTAGGGCGCACCGGCCCGGCGGGCGCAAAGCCGGAGTGACCGGCAGCGCTCCCTCCTGCCAGGCACTCTGTGTAGCGTGGCCGAGCGCGCCGCGGTACAGGAACTTATGTTTCCTGTACCCGGGAGGACCCTTCTGGGAGGCAGAGCCCTGTATACACTACTGATATAATGACCGCAGTCATAGCTGGTAATCTCTCTGTATCAGACTGCCTGCTCTGGGAGGCAGAGCTCTGTATACACTACTGATATAATGACCGCAGTCATGGCTGGTAATCTCTCTGTATCAGACTGGCTGCTCTGGGAGGCAGAGCCCTGTATACACTACTGATATAATGACCGCAGTCATGGCCGGTAATCTCTCTGTATCAGACTGGCTGCTCTGGGAGGCGGAGCCCTGTATACACTACTGATATAATGACCGCAGTCATAGCTGGTAATCTCTCTGTATCAGACTGGCTGCTCTGGGAGGCAGAGCCCTGTATACACTACTGATATAATGACCGCAGTCATGGCGGTAATCTCTCTGTATCAGACTGCCTGCTCTGGGAGGCAGAGCCCTGTATACACTACTGATATAATGACCGCAGTCATCTGGGATCTCTCTGTATACACTACTGATATAATGACCGCTGCCTGCTGGTCTGGGAGGCTGAGCTCTGTATATCACTACTGATATAATGACCGCAGTCATGCCAGGTAACCTTGCATCAGACTGGCTCTGGGAGCATACACTACTGAGATATAATGACCGCACTACTGATATAATGACCCAGCGGCGGTAATCTCTCTGTATCAGACTGGCTGCTCTGGGAGGCAGAGCCCTGTATACACTACTGATATAATGACCGCAGTCATAGCTGGTAATCTCTCTGTATCAGACTGGCTGCTCTGGGAGGCAGAGCCCTGTATACACTACTGATATAATGACCGCAGTCATGGCTGGTAATCTCTCTGTATCAGACTGGCTGCTCTGGGAGGCAGAGCCCTGTATACACTACTGATATAATGACCGCAGTCATGGCTGGTAATCTCTCTGTATCAGACTGGCTGCTCTGGGAGGCGGAGCCCTGTATACACTACTGATATAATGACCGCAGTCATGGCCGGTAATCTCTCTGTATCAGACTGGCTGCTCTGGGAGGCAGAGCTCTGTATACACTACTGATATAATGACCGCAGTCATGGCTGGTAACTCTCTGTATCAGACTGCCTGCTCTGGGAGGCAGAGCCCTGTATACACTACTGTATATAATGGACTCTGCTACTGTACATCATGCCTGGTAATCTCTCTGTATCAGACTGCCTGCTCTGGGAGGCAGAGCCCTGTATACACTACTGATATAATGACCGCAGTCATGGCTGGTAATCTCTCTGTATCAGACTGGCTGCTCTGGGAGGCAGAGCCCTGTATACACTACTGATATAATGACCGCAGTCATGGCTGGTAATCTCTCTGTATCAGACTGGCTGCTCTGGGAGGCAGAGCCCTGTATACACTACTGATATAATGACCGCAGTCATGGCTGGTAATCTCTCTGTATCAGACTGGCTGCTCTGGGAGGCAGAGCTCTGTATACACTACTGATATAATGACCGCAGTCATAGCCGGTAATCTCTCTGTATCAGACTGCCTGCTCTGGGAGGCAGAGCCCTGTATACACTACTGATATAATGACCGCAGTCATGGCCGGTAATCTCTCTGTATACTCATGACTTAGTGGTAATCTCTCTGTATCAGACTGGCTGCTCTGGGAGGCAGAGCCCTGTATACACTACTGATATAATGACCGCAGTCATAGCCGGTAATCTCTCTGTATCAGACTGGCTGCTCTGGGAGGCGGAGCTCTGTATACACTACTGATATAATGACCGCAGTCATAGCTGGTAATCTCTCTGTATCAGACTGGCTGCTCTGGGAGGCAGAGCTCTGTATACACTACTGATATAATGACCGCAGTCATAGCTGGTAATCTCTCTGTATCAGACTGCCTGCTCTGGGAGGCAGAGCTCTGTATACACTACTGATATAATGACCGCAGTCATGGCTGGTAATCTCTCTGTATCAGACTGCCTGCTCTGGGAGGCGGAGCTCTGTATACACTACTGATATAATGACCGCAGTCATGGCTGGTAATCTCTCTGTATCAGACTGGCTGCTCTGGGAGGCAGAGCTCTGTATACACTACTGATATAATGACCGCAGTCATAGCTGGTAATCTCTCTGTATCAGACTGGCTGCTCTGGGAGGCGGAGCTCTGTATACACTACTGATATAATGACCGCAGTCATAGCCGGTAATCTCTCTGTATCAGACTGGCTGCTCTGGGAGGCAGAGCCCTGTATACACTACTGATATAATGACCGCAGTCATGGCTGGTAATCTCTCTGTATCAGACTGGCTGCTCTGGGAGGCAGAGCCCTGTATACACTACTGATATAATGACCGCAGTCATAGCCGGTAATCTCTCTGTATCAGACTGGCTGCTCTGGGAGGCGGAGCTCTGTATACACTACTGATATAATGACCGCAGTCATGGCTGGTAATCTCTCTGTATCAGACTGGCTGCTCTGGGAGGCGGAGCTCTGTATACACTAGTGACATGCTATGTTTCCCTGGCTGTTTGTTGCCATGGTGATTGGAGATGTTGGCGCATGCGCTCTGTCCTCCTCTCCCTCCGCGGGCGCAGACTCGGTCTCCAGGAACTACAACTCCCGGCACCACCCGCGCCCCACAGTGACGTCACAATGAAGCCGCGTGAAGGGATAAAGCGCCCGGATGAGGAGCAGGTACCAGGTACGTGTCTGTGTGCTGGGGCCCCTGGGAGCCTGGAAAGGGCCCCTGGGAGCGGCTTATAGCGTGTAATACAGGATCTGCATACTGAGTGTCACTATAGGGAGACAGACTGCCATCCATGATCCATCTATAATAATAATAATAATATAATAATAATATAATATAGTATGTAATAATAATACTGTGTGTTATCTGTATACCGTATCTATCATTAATCCCATTACCGTATCTATCATTAATCCCATTACCGTATCTATCATTAATCCCATTACCGTATCTATCATTAATCCCATTACCGTATCTATCATTAATCCCCATTACCGTATCTATCATTAATCCCCATTACCGTATCTATCATTAATCCCCATTACCGTATCTATCATTAATCCCATTACCGTATCTATCATTAATCCCATTACCGTATCTATCATTAATCCCATTACAGTATCTATCATTAATCCCCATTACCGGATCTATCATTAATCCCATTACCGTATCTATCATTAATCCCATTACGTATATAT